CACGATCATGTTTCCTCTGAAGCACCTCCTCTCTAAGGTAAATACATTTAGATTATTTAGCGTTCCTTGGAGTCAAGGCACTCCAGCCTTTTAATAACTTTGTTACCCTTTGATGGACCCCTCCCAAGTCTGGGGCATCACCTCTGTTGATTGGGGACCAAATCAAAGTCTGAGTAAATAAAACGCATCAATAAATAATTTCTCATTTTGGGTTTATAGCACAGAATGTTATTCCTTGACTGTCAATAATTTTCATGTGTAGCAATAATGACATCATTATTACTGTAGCTCTCAGTGGATACCGGAACCTGTTTTTATGTGGAACGTTTTTTCCTTCCTCTGTTAAATAATTGTTTTATGAAATAGAAACTATTTGATTTATTTGACTTTCACTAACATAGTTTAAAGTGGAGAGGCAGACCTGATCTCATTCCACTGGAATATTCTGACGTTGAAAACTGATTATGAGAGAAGACTACAACAGAATGCAGCCAGTAAACTCGTGGGCACGAGGCAAAGGAAAACTGAAGTGCTTTCTGCACAGTTGTAATGGATAATAAAGCTGGCTTTGACGGGCTGAGCTAAAGTACTGTCTGTAAGATAGAATCCTGTAGAAAAATATGTATCACCCCTCCTTACCTCTCAATCATGAATACTGAGATCCGCACTATCTTCATATAATATAAAATAAAATAAAAAGCACTACTACAACATACTTATTTCACAACATAAACCTGCTTGACCCGGGATTCCTAAGCTTTTTATTCCAGACCCCAAATAAGAAAATTGTTACAGTACTGGGACACCGGGGAGAGAATTGTTGCCATACTGGTATGCCAGGGAAAGAATTGTTACCATACTGGGACGCCAGGGAGATAATTATTACCATCCTGGGAAACCAGGGAGTGAATTTTTACCATACTGGAACACCATAGAACAATGGAGGGACTTGCTGTCATACTGGGCCACCACAGAGAGTATTGTTACCATACATACTGGGACACCAGGAAGAGAATTGTTACCATACTGGGACACCAGGAAGAGTATTATTTCATTCCTAGGATACCAGGGGGAGAATTATTATAATCCTGGGATGGCAGGGAGAGAGTTTTTACCATACTGGGACACCAAGGAGAATATGATTACCTTCCTGGGATGCCAGGTGGAGAATTGCAGCCATACTGAGGCACCAGGGAGAGAATTATTACAATCCTGGGATGGCAGGGAGATAACTATTACCATACTTGGACAACAGGAGAGAAATATTACCATACCAGGACACCAGGGAGAGAATTGTGATGATATTAAATGACAGTGATCACTAGCAGGGAGCTAGTTTATTCAGGTCCCAACTCCTACACTTTGACCACAGCCCACTATGGCATGTATATGGGGCACACAAAGGTACACACTTGTGAACAACCTTCCACTGAACATGCTGTAAAGGTCAGTTTTCACCTACTATAGATCTACTTCCTGACTGCTGGGCCACTTTAGCTGTGATCAGGTCCTTTTGAAAACAATGGCATTTTTCTTGTCTGTGCAATTTGCCTGTGCTGGTACCAAAAAGTATCCATGATAATGTATCCAGTGGGAATGAGCATTAAACAGACTTTCTAACCCCAGAATATTCAATAGGATTGTGAGTGGTTCATTTAGTTATAGTTATGAACCTTGTCTTGGTTATTTTTTAGAGACTCAATTTCCTGATGACACAATGTTAAAGGGGAGGCTGTGAGTGCCATCAGAAATGGCTCTTAGAGTGCCTACTGACACTATAGAGTACAGGCTCTAATGATGATTGAACTTCTTTTGTCTGTTAGTGTAAATTATATCAACAACTTATAAAGTGCTAAATATTATGTTGGCTTGCTTAATTTAATGGCCCTCGTATTTCTCTCAGCAGAGGTGTCCTTTAAAGACCCAGCCTATCAATGATTTATCAAATGGAAATTTTGAAATGCAGACTTATATTTTGGGCCAATAAAAGAACCCAAAACCTACCTGACTAAGATTAGTGAAGTAGCTTTGATGATACTATAGTGTTGGGTAATTTTTCATATCTACAGTACAGGATTCTTACTTGAAGGTTTTTGTTTGTCCTTAGAATGAGTGCTTGTGGTCTAGAGACACAGAAAATGTATAGATGGTATACATACATAGTATATATAGTATAGTGGCCTCCACATTACAGTATGGAGGCCACTATTGAATAAACATGTGCACTGGCAAAAAAATGTGTTTAGTTTCGTTTTGATTCGGATTTTGCATTATTTTGTTTTTCGGGGATTCAGGTCCGAAAGTCATTTCGTTTCGAGATTTGGACGAAATTCGTTAGCGGTAGTCAGTACGAATTTTTTGTTTGTGGACGAATTTTCGCTGCAGCAAAGTGACATTAAAAAAAATGTTCTTTTAATGTCACTTTGCTGCAACGAAAATTCGTCCACATACAAAAATACGTACGGATTACCGCTAACGAACTTCGTCCGAAATGTCATTTTCGGAAATTCGGATTTGTTTTCATTCGTCATTTCTGTTATTCGGAAATTCAGATACATCCAAATCTCCGAACAACAAAAATTTGTCCAAAAAACTATTTTTTCTGAAACGAATCGCACATGTCTACTATAGAATGCTGTCACATTGGGGTGTTGTGGTCTCAAGAGTCCATATGGCTTTTTGTTGGGCCTGCAGCAGCCAGTTTGCCAGTTTTCTGCAGCTACATAACGTTTCTGAAAGACATCGTCAAAATATATATGGAGTAATTTGGTAAAACCCAAGAAATTACTGTATTTTCTACCTGGAGTCTTGGAATCTACCTGGAATCTTGACGCTGTTCTTCTTTGCTCAAACAAATGAAATACCGAATCTGACCCCAACTTTGTCTTTTTCTTTTGTAAATTTTCAACCTGATTTAGCAGACACAGGCTTTAACTGTTCTTTTGTATTCACTCTGTGGAGGTGTGAAAACTAATAATGGCTCTAGGTGTTACTTACAGGTCTTCTCTGTAGGAGGTGCTGATTGGTTGGTAGTCTTTAGTATTTAACTGTACATATATAAAATAATTACTCTCTACTTTCCCTTTTTGTGTGTATTCTCACCTAAGTGACCTGTAATTCTACATTAATTAACATGAATAGTAGCATTACACTGATGACTGTAAATACTAAAGTGACCGATTTCCTCAGGTCTAAACCCAGGACTATTTAAATAAATTTGGTCTAGTAGGAACATCTTGGCTCAAACATGTTTGGTTGATCTGTGCAAGGTACAGTAACCCAAAGCAGCTGAACAGAACTCACTTTGGTGAAGTAAGCCCAATACAGGATGGAATGTGGTTGGTTGCTATGGATACTTTGCGCTTTGCTCTTTGCACTCGCCTGTATGTGTCTATAGAGATCTTTCAAATCAGTTCTATGAAGCCATATGCACGCAGGAGCATTGAAACGTTTCTGAAAGCTTTCTGTCATATAGATTTCCCTCATTGCAATCTGATTGAGTATTTTGGTCATAGTAAAGGGTGATGGATGATAGACACAACTGGCTGTAGCGATGCTCAGCACTAGGCTGGCGTCTTGCACACTGGCACAGTATTTCAAATATAAATATGAAGAGCTCCACACAGGTATCATCTAGAGTCAGAACATTCCTGCTCTGGTACAACATGACATTTCAAATTCCTGCCATATCTTGGAATGAATCACTAACTCTAGTGTATGTGGGTTACTGGATTGTCACTTCACAGAGTTGTAAAACATTCCTGATGTCTTCTGTAGTGCCCAATACCTGTTCCAATGTCTGCTTCCACTTAGACATATACTAAAGGAGAAATGCTCTCCCTAGTCAACACACACATTTCAAATGCCCAAACAAGTAAAGCATGATTCAAAAAAATATTCAAATAGAAATTCCCCTGAAGCTGAGTATTTGAAGTGAGCAGAGGCTAGAGTGAACATTGCCACTTAAGTAAACTTGTCTTTATTTATTTTCTTATCCTCTTAAAGGGACTGTCATGCCAACAAAAGAGCAAATGCAGCAATTTACTTTTTAAATAATGCAGCATGGTGCAGCTGAGTGCAGGGCAGACGTGTTTGCAGTCCAGGCTGTGTGACAATCTTGGCTCCCTCCATAGATACAATGCAGTGAGTGAGTGTTATCCCCCTAGAACAGGAAGTGTGTTATTAGCAGGATAACCAGGCGAAAAGAAAGAAAAGGCCTTAAATAAGAAAACAAGTGCAGCCCCTTATCTAAATACTTGTAAGATGTAATATATTAAATTTTTGGGGGTGGAGGGGTTTAGATTTGCTTTAAAGCAACTTGGTTGCTCTTATAAACTTGATAAAATAAGTTCCTACAGGTAAAAGAATTAATTTGTACCTCCCCTGCTGCCCCCGCCACTGAACAAAGCTCATTTAACTCAGGTGGGGTTTTCTTTAAAAAGAAAACCCCACCTCTAAAGTGTATTCCATAACCAACACTTTCAGGAAGGTCCATTTGCTGTGGTCCATCCTGATGAGAGCAACCACTGAGTGCTGCAGTTGACGAAGCAAATTGACTCTCCTGCAAGTGTCAGTTATAGAAGTCACTCCTGAGGAGGATTTCTTTACAACATAGTGGGCAACAGCAAAGGTAAGTATCCGCTTTTTTACAGGGTGACATTATTTTAGCAAATTTATTAAAACTACACAGTGGCTTTGGGCTCCATATAAAGTTTAAAAGTTTTTGCTCTTAGATTATTTGAAAGAATTGATTCCTGATTTTCATTCTTCTCAAGGTTAGACAGTTAATCTATTTCCATTATTAGTTATGTTAAGTTTGATAAATGTAATTAGTCATTTAAAAAACATGTTTACAAAAGTACATGGATCTTTCTATTATAATAATACATGTGTAATGTTATTTTTGATGTAATCTGAATTTTCAATCATTTTTCAACATTAAATACAAGCAAGCTGTGCATAGCACACTTTATTTCTATAAAACTATTAAAGCTATTACAAAGTATTCCAAAAAATACATTTTAGTAAATTTACAGCGGTTATTCAATTTATTAATGCAAATCAACAGTCTTCATCCACTGGAGGTCCTCGTCTATGTGCGCTTTGTATTTTGTTTAAAAAATATGACTTTCTAATATATTCTTTGCAGTTAAAATTACAAGATTCCTACTGTGTCAAAGAGAAAACAAAATGATAAAAAAACAGGATTTTTGTGTAACAGTCTGTGAGTTAGGTGAATGTGACCAAATGCAAGTTTATACAAATGAAAAAAAAATATGAAAACATAAAAAAACAGACATAGAATATGCGATAACGTTACGTTGTGAAACTATTTAAATTAAAATAATATATTCTCATATTGTACACTATTTCCAACAAAAAAAAAAAGAAAAATGAAAAGAAATGCAGTTCAGTAAGTATTGATCTCTGAAAAACAAAATTCTAATTTACAATTCTGTGTATAAAAATATAATTTACTGACCCCCACTGAGACAAGTCATTACTCACAATTATTTAACACTTTCAGTGACAGCCAGGCCAAGTAAAACCCCTTATAGACACCTACAATGGAGGTCTGTCGAGACAGTGAGGGAAAGACAAAAGTAACGAAACAGTACTAAGGGGTAGATTTACTAAAGGTAGTATCATTTTATTCCAGAGTTCTGACCGCACACTGTGCTTTCAAAGATCAGATTGGGATTTGTTTTTTTCTTTATACCTGGTGGCTCTTTGAAAGAACACAAGTTCCCTAAGCAAAATTTGCATCCTTGAGTAAATCATCCCTTAGAGTTAAGACAAACTCAACACGTAGAAAAATAGAATCTGCTTTGTTAACTTAGAATCAACACAGAGAACTTTCACAAGTTCACGGAAAGTTCGCAAGACAATAAATTATCAAAGAAACTAGTTAAGGCTTCTCGTATGTCCCGTTCATATTTAACATCTAATCGAACAACACACAAATAAATATTCAGCAGAAGAGAACCAAAAGAAAGTAAAGTACAATGGGATGCAAGAATAAAATAATAATACAAAAATAATAATAAGGGCAAAGAAATGTGGGGTGGGGTTCCTTAGTGTCTACTTTGGACTGTCCTACATTAAAAATTAATGTCTTTCTTAATGTAAAGATTGAGGGATGTTTCAACTGGACCTCGCTGACATTCCCAGTGGATGAAGAGAGTCATTATCCAAGATCCAAGTTCCTAATTGATAAAGGAGTTGTGAGTACCAGTGGATGCCTTCAACATGAAGGTACGTGGGAGATGGGTTGTAGTAGTCTTTGGGGGAAAAGTAGGAGAAAAGTTTAAAGGCAAATCTGAGTGGGGCAAAAGCCATGTGTGCCCAGCTATGTTCTTCAATGACTGCATAACAAGAGGCCAGGACCCCATTGATGACCACTGTTCCATGAGAGGTAACGGGAGCATAGGCTCCAATGTCTTCTTCTAGATGGACCTTATCCACTGTCACCACCTTCAGATCCATCATCTTATGATCAGCTAGGAACACCTGATCTCCTGGCCTTATGTTGCTGGCAAAAACAGACTTGAAAGACCTGGTGCCATTACCTGGGCTCTGTGACACAAAGAGAAGATGGGCAGCTGTCAGTCGGATGCTCTGCTTGGGTTCAGCGGTCTCAATCACATAGAAGACCTTCTTCACACTCTCCTGCTTGTCCAAGAAGGTGAGGAAGTCACTGTAGACCAGCCTGCCCTCCTCATTTGCTGCTAACACGCGATCTCCTGGCCTTAGATCCTTTATTGCCTTGGTACCACCTCCTTCCAAGGACACACTGGCATTGGCAGGAAAGCAACCACCGGATTTTGCCGCCCCCGAGTTTTCTTTAAAAAAAAAAAAAAAAAGATTAAATAAATTAGTGATGCTTAATATTTTAATAATGAGCTTACCACTATCATCATATATGCTAACAATAGCAAAATCCATATAAAGAAGGGTGCTTTTGTTGGGACAGTTTAGTAGCTGAACTAAGTGGGTTTTTACATGTTGTAGAGGTCAAAGTTCCACCACTCCATTGTTTGTTAATACTGGCTTTAGATGTACATGCTTTATATAAATTAACCTTTTCTGATTTGCCCAACAAGCTATATACTGAAGAACTATAAAGCCAGGCTTGTCAAGTCTCAGGTAATAATGGTTTTAGCTGAATATGATTACTTTTCTAAAGTATGAACGTACAACATTTACCAGCACTTCCTGTTTTACATAATATGAATACCGGACACTGTGCAGATAGTTGTCGTTTGTCTAAAACTGAAGAGGCATAGAGATAGTCCATGTATGAATGGCTAAAAAAATATACCATATTGTATTTTATAGGCACCACTGTTCTTAGCCTCTAATTAACTGCAATACATTTAGTGAATGTTGGTGAAACAGAGGGTAGTGATGAGCAAAACTGAGAATTTTTATTTCACAGATATTTGTTTAAATATATTGGAGTCCGTTACAGGCTAATTTTTTGAACATTTCATCAAAAGCAGTCGTTTGCGGTAAACTCAGGTGTGCTGAAATCACTTTGCTCATCCCTAATTTTACATTGCAATTTTTGGGTAGCATTACTTCCACTTAGAAGTTCTATGTTAAACTTTTCCATGAAGGAGTTATGAGCCAACAAGTTCCAACATTCACTCTCTTTCACTAAGATATGGATGTGATTTATCCAAGAGCCAGTTTTTAAGAAGACTTTAGCTTCCAAGGGGGGGCGGTGATACAAGCTTAACCTGAATGACTGCATGTTTGAGGCAACTCAGATTCATGAGGGTGAGTATAAAAATTACTACTTTGGTATATTAATCACAGAATGAGAACTGATGTTACATGATGGGTGATGAGCTGAGTACATTATGCCTATAGTTCTAAAATGCTCAAGGACTAGCACTGCTGAAAACAAGTCTAAGAAAGAGTTGAAAAAAGGAAAAAACTTCTCAAGTCCTTTACACCTGTCTCCCATCTGTGTTAAGAGGCAAGGCAATCGTTTTACTTGGGCAGTGGCAATTTTCATTGTGTTACAACATTAACTGCTTTATATTGGATCATTCTAGACAATTTAGCATGATCAGAATTGTTTGTGCTTAAATCTGAGACTAATTAGCACTATCGGTGAAATTCACTCATACACGAGCATAAGATGAAAGTGACCATGAGGAAAAGTGAAGGTGCTGTACACAGCAACCAATTAAATTCCAGTCGTCATTTGCCAGTGCATGTTTAAAAAAAACAAAAGAATCAACCTGATTGGTTGCTGAGACTACAGCACTTTGACTTTTGCCCCCATGCATGGTAGGTCCTTCTTAACTTCACACTTGTGTTTAGCTCTGATCACTGGTGGCTTGTGAAGTAGAGAAGTTTCCTACTGAACTCCCTTTCCTCCTGATGTTTAAGTGTTACATCATTTCTTAAAGCAACACTTCAAGCTGCTGCTTCGTTACCATAACAATAATGGTTCCCTCGGGAAGAACTAACAGGGTGAAAATGAGTTTTTATTGATCTGCTAACATCTTTATCACTTTCAGTGAACAAACTAAATAAACTGCAAAAAGATGGGAGAAATGCTACAGCAGGAACCGACATCAAACAAGCTGTACATTTTTTCTTGTGTCTGTGCTACTGGTCTGTCCCTTGGAGCTGGTCCCCAGAGACAGAACAGCTTTGTTTGCATATTTTGGGGGCTTTTGAATAGATCCCAGCCTGTACAGCCACTCTACAAACACACTAGTGGATTGCATGAGGTGTGAAGACTGAGTAGCCTCTTGTTTGGGTTCCCTAATTAAAATCCAATTGTCATTCTGATTCTTGGAAGAAAATGGAGGCACTCTTGGAAAAAAAAAGGATGCTTCATTTTTTTCTTTTCCCAGCTCCCCCTTCCTATTTACTCAGGTGCAGAAACCCTCTCTGGCAATTCACACACACATACACTCCAAAATCCAAGAGGCACTATTTGCACAGGGCAGACACTTTCCAAGGCACTCAAAACACATTTGAATTTTAAATGCAATGGTTTTTCTGCTGAAAAGGCCACCATGCCCTGGCGGTGATAATAATTCTGATCTCTGGGGCCCATTGTCCACTGTCATACATTCAGTAAACAAGATATCTTAAAGAATCTTCCTGCTTGGAACTACGGACTTTAATCTCCTCATCTTATTCTTCAGCATGAAGGGGAACCAGGACAATGGCAGTCTAGTTTTAAGCCGGAGGAATCCAATATTTGCTCTTGAATTGTGGATGGTGCAGTCACACGACCTCACATGGCACAGCAAACCAGCAAGAGTAATGCTAAAGATACCAATAGGCATAAGGTGAATCTTGGCAGATGCTTGCCATCGTTCAGTTGTTGGCAGGCTTAAAGTTTGCCACTAAAGATTTGCAGTTCAAGTAATGGCCAATTCTGACAAAAGCAGCAAACTGCAAGTTTTTGATTTGCCTGAATGTGTGCAGGCAGTTTTCTCTGATCTGCAAGGAATTGCACATTTTGTGAATCTGCATTCAACAAAATTGATAAGTCCAATCACAAGTCAGTTTGTTCATTTCTATCCATAGTACATGGGTAGTGATTATCACATGGCACAAGCCTATCTCTATGTATGGACAACTTTTGAGAAAGGCTATATTTTTTAGATTTTTAGGAATGCATGTAAAAATTTGGCTTACAGCAATAATTTGATAGTGCATATAAGCATTTTAAAAACACAGTCCCCATATAAAGTATTGAAAGGGGACCTGAACTTAAAAAGTGAAGATCTGTTATTTTATCTAGAAATGTTAATTGTGCCAATGCAGTATGCTAAGAAATTTACCCTTTGTCTTAAATTCCTCCTAAAAAAAAGCAGTGCGCATCCTGATATGTGACTGTGCCTTCAGCCTCACAGCTGTGTATCTGCTGCGTGAAATCATCTGAGGCACTGCTGTGTCTGACTGGTAGAGACTTGGGGATTTTACTACTGTACTGCACTGTTCTCCTTGCTGGAATGGAATCTGTACTAAGGACCTACAGACAATCATTTCCCTGTTTCTGCTGCATCCATTCTGCGTATCTTTGATTCCTGAACCTCTTCTGCTGCTGCTTGAGCATTCATCATCACTCATCAAATTTCCAGGAAATAAGGTGGCAGAGGAAGTAACGCACTGCCAAGATGGCCACCCCACACAAAGACACAGTATGGAGAAAGGCATGGTAAGACAGTTATAGGGAAAAATTCAGATGTAGAGAGACTACAGCTAATAATACTAACTAGTCTTGTTTTTGGAGTACAGCTCCTATAGTTCAGGTCTTCTTTTCTTATAAACATACATAGGAGCATTTGGTAATTCCATATGCAGGTTGTTTTTCCTGCTTATAACTACTACAGCATAGTGTTTGTGTCTTGTGTATCCCCTATCTCACTACAAGTCAGTCAGACAGGGTCTGTCTGGTTTAAAATGATAGACACAATTTAGACCCTAATAATTTGAATCACAAATAATGCTTGCGGTACTCAGAGAGCTTTGGCTTGACTGAGGGAGTTCAGAGCAGCATATTTTAATCATTCCTAGGAAGAGACATAATGTGATTTGATTATGCTGACAGCTGTCCTGTTGATTCATGTGAAGTATGAATGATAGGTCCACTTTAAATTACTATGAATAGTCAACAAACATTAAAGAAACATTCATTTGACAAGGTTAGATCTTTTTGTTCATTTGATTGGAAGTATTTGAAGTGAACATGCCAGATCTCTTTTGAAAATGCTAGTCGCCTGGCTATGTCTGGTTCCAATACTTTTAGAGTCACTGACTTAGAATAAGCACATAACTGGTGAAGTCAGAGAAAAGACATCTCATGAACTTCATACTTGTTCCAGGACTGTAACTCAAAGGCGTACCTTAGCAAATTGTTACTGCTTCCCAGTGCTGGCGGAAAGATCCAAGAAATAGGCAGCAGGCTGCACAGAAGGACCGCTGGTCTCCATGTAAGAGCAGCGGTATCTGTACAGCGGTCAGGCACACTCCCCTGCTTTTTCAGCACTACTTGCAATCAGCAACGTAAAAATTCTGGCAAAGCTTTGGTTGGGCTAATAGCCGGCAAAAGGAGGGTTCCGAAATGTCATCCTACATATTTTCTCATTACAGTTTTCCTTTATTGAGCAACTGTTCAATCAATAAATAGTTTATGGATGACAGATATTTTATATTTATACATTCCCTAAAGGAACCTATAGATATGTTGTATAGGGACTAGAAGATGCAACCGCAGCATGGTGGTTCTGTACAATGTGCAGGCCTTAAAAATACACATCAGCAAAGTCTGAGCATGTTTTAGACATGTTCAGGCACTCTGCCAGCTCCAGTCTTATCTTGGTGGAACAATGGGGATCAACAGGGAAAAAATCCATTCCTAATTATCAGCTCTTTTCCTGAAATCAGTCAGTCAGGAAGGCCCAGCAAAGGTCATGGGTGCCATACACACAAAAACACAATCATTCCTTGATGTTGGTGGCTACCTTAATGGGTCATTCCATCTAAAGCCCATATGTAAAATTTTCGATAGCTCTAGAAGGCTAAGGGCATTTGTTGGCTGTAGCATCATGGTGTAAGTTTGTTTCTAGAGATTTAAACCAGATAATGATTTCTGTAATCTTTCAAAGATTACAGTGATGAGATTTGAATATTTGGGTATGAACATGGGGAATGTGAAAGTGGGAACGTAGAAAAGTAGGTACAACATCTAGCACTCCAAGGTGATTAGGACCAGAACCAGGAACTATGGCAGGAAGATGTAGGGACTGGAGTCCTCAAGACTTTTTATGAGAAGCCATAGGTTGAACTATTCTGTCAGGCTCCA